AAAATTCAGTATCTGAATTCTCAGGACTCATAAAACCAATTAGAAATGTCTGGCTGTCAGCTAGTCACATCACACTCACGCTGCTTCACACCACAAGTGATGATCCATGACTAACACCAGGAGGCAAATCCCAATTCCAAGGGTTTCTAAAAACTACATTGTCTTATTGCTAAATTGTACACAATGCATTTTCTTGGCAACTTTATCAATTAACACTATGGGATAATTATAAGGGTTTGATTAGCGTAGTATTTCAAAATTGCATAATTATTTAAATGTAACTTCTAATAGATGTTAGAATAGGAAAGCCTTCAGTCATGCCTAATATAATCACCAAAAAGATTTACCAAAAAAATTACCACTACTGAAAAGTCTTTCAGTTGTATGTACAAATACACAATTCAACTCAATTTTACCAAGTGAAAATATTACACTGTTAGTGCCAATTACCATCAGATCTTCTGTGATAAAGGACAAAAATAAATGTTGTAAATGATGTATGTCAATTCTTCTGCAAGGCTGTTTCATATAAGTTAAAACAGCTCAAAATTTGCCAGGATTTTATATTAATTCTTACTATAATATTTTAAAATACTAATTTTAAATGCTCCATGGAGTAAACCTATTTTGAAGGCTTAGCACAATAACGAAGAAATTTAAACAGGAAAGTTTAAGCCCAGAAGTTTAAGAAATCTTTTCTATATATAACAAAATTACCAACTTCAATGGATTCCACTAAAAAGCATCACTATAAAACTCACACAAAGTAAATTGAAATACATATGGCAGAATGTGCAATCCAAAGCATGGTCACACAACACAGTAAATGATAAAGGTTAGGCAACAAAAGTTCAAATTAACATATAAGTGAACGGTTGTGTGCAAATTTTCATGAATAAGAAATTATTCATTTGGAACATTTTATATACAACTTGTTTACAATTTAAAACAAGTACAATTGAAAACATTTCTATGAAAAAACCACAATAAAACCAAATAAAACACTGAATAACAGTCTTACAAACTGGTCTCTCTCAGGAATTTTTAAGCAAATAGCTGTGTGGTACTATTCTAAGAAATACCCTCTTCCTGCTCAATCATTTCTGTTTTAACTGAAAACACATCTGCCAGCATGTGTTTTGGAATTTCTGAACCCCGGACTTTCAGGGCATAACAAGCATTCTCCACTTTGGCCAGGCTCTGTTTCAAGGTGTACAGCTTCTTAGAAACTTCATAAGGCCCTGTGTTGCCAATGAATGAGAACCCATCATAAACCTGACGTAAAAACTGGCTGACTTCAAAGGGTGTGTCAATGTCCCCATTCCCCACACTGTTAATACACATCCGCATCAATTCTCCAGTTAAATCAGCCACTCCGAGGAGGTAATCAACAGGCGTGACTCTCAGGCTCCAAGTGAGCAGCTGCTTTTCCTGTGCATCAGAGGAGGGAGTCTTGTTTTCTTTTCCACTGTCTTCTGTTGTAAATATTAACTGTTTATTAATTTCATCCATGCTGATTAATGATCGTGTTTTGATGAAATGTTGAAAAGAGACAGCTTCTACATACTCCTGCAGTCCCGTCGTAATGGCTTGGTGGAACTGATGCATGTCTTCTCCTGATAGCTCTTGGGCTACCTGTAATATTTTTTGTCTGACGCCATCCAATTTAATTTCTGATTCGGTCAATATTTCTTCCATATCAGGTGCACTTGTAATCCTATGGAGGAGAAAAATTGTCCTTTTACTTTCCACAGTTATATCCCGGCTGAGCTTCACAAGCCTCTCGTATTTGTCATGTCTCGCATCCAGCTCCTGCTGGAAGGATTTGAAGGCCAACATCACGGGAGAAGATGAATTAACATCCTTCCCCTCTCTTCTTTGGTTAAGCGGGAAGTTGTCATGCTTCCTCTTCCTGAACCCTCCTGACCCTTCTTTGCCGCTCATGTCTGGTCGACCTTCGCTGAAACGCTCGGACAACGAAGCGCAGGAGCTGGGGAGCGCGGGGACCCTGTATGTATTTTTTAAACTCCCTGATTTCTGTGATTTTGTTTGCCATTGATTTCTAGGTTCATTACACCATGATTTGATAATATTCATAGGATAATTTTAATTCTTTTGCTTTTACTTAAGTATGCTTTATTGACTACAGGGCTGTGAAAAGCCTAATGCAATGCTGAGAAGAATGTGAAGTCTTGTGCTGGGTGGAACACTCTGTAGATGTCTTTTAAGTTTGTTTAACTGATATTTCTTTGTTGATTTTTTTACTTGATCTACTTCTGATAGTGTGGTACTGAGGTTTATTACTATGACTGCATAATGTTCAACCCATCTTCCTTATTTGGTGTTGTTTGCTTTATGAGGTTGCATGTACTGGTATTTGATACATGTAAGTTTATGATTGTTACATTGTTCCCTTAACCAATCTGTAGAGATCTTCTTTGGCTTTTCTGATCAGTTTTGACTGGAAATGCACTTTGTTTGAAAATAAGATAATTTCTATGGCATTTTTTTGAGGGGGCTCCTATTGCATAGATTATTATTTTCTATCATTTGATATTTAGTCTATTAATTTATTTTTGATAAATTGTATTTTTTATGCAGTATACAATTAAATTTTACATTTTGACCCAATTTATTCTTCTGTATCTTTTGACTAGAGAATTGAGATCATTGATATTGAGAGTTATTACTGGAAAACATCCACTTTTCGGTTATTGTATTGTTTTTCTGTTGTTGCTTTCTTTTTTCTCCCCTCCTACTAAGTATTCAGCCTACCTGATATGTTCATTCAATTAGGCTCTTTCACATTGCTAGTTTCATTATGTCTTTTTAGGATCTCCTTGAGAATTACTTAAGTGCATGTAGAAACTCAAAAGGAAAAGTAAAGGGGGTGGGGAGGGTTGAGAAAAAAGCACACCTCCCCTAAACCTAAAATATAAAGGAAGAAAAAGGGAGAGCATTTAAAAATTCCTCTGTCTTTGTGAATGAATAGTTTCTTTCTAGGGTCTGCAGTACTAGGATCCATGTTATGAGAGAGAGATACTGAGTCACTATGAAGACATACTTTATTTCTACACTGATATTTTTGATTCATACTGCTTATTTTACTCTTTAATATTGTGAAAATTTACAAATTACTGTTAGAGAAGCTAAAGAAATCCAAAGTCCTTTTAAAACAATGTCTGCAGTCCCATCTCTCAAGTACTTGTGCTCAGCAACCGAGCTTTTAAAACTTTCACCCCTGACATTACTGGAGTCAATATGTTCTCCCCTAAACAGGACCAACTGATTAATTTATTGTGCACTGGGCAGTCATATCACCTTCAAAGATGTCTCATGTCTTAAAAATGACATGCTTCCAGACATGGCACGTTCCACAGAACCATAGCTCCAAGCTACCCAAGTAGATAGTTCTTAAACTCAACTTGTAGTCTAGAATTATTTTTAGCTTTTCTGGAAGAGTACTGGAGCTTAAATCTTCAAACACAGTTGGACTAAGAAACCATAATTGTCCTTGTAAATGTTGCCGCTTACTTATGTATGTATCAGAGGCAGTAATTTCCAAAACAGATTTTTTTTTTAGAGTAGCTACTATGTGTAATTTATTCATGAGACAAATATAGGAATACCTATGTGTTTTGGATATTATGCTAAGATATAAGCTAACTAGCAAAAATGAATCATCAGGGTCCAAATAATAGCAGCAGATTGAGCTAGGAGGGCCAATAGTGGGTTCAGGGTTGAGGTGGGCAGAAGAGGAAAAGGACCAGCCTGTGATGAGTGGGAGCATGGTCCAGACAGAGAGCACAGCATTGCGAAGGTGGCCCAGAAACAAAAGCCCTAGTTTTGGTTGTTCTATGTACAGGTTCTGAGAGATCTTCAATGCAGGCCAATTCTGACGTTTCCACCTTTGTTGTTGTTATTCTTTCCAATTTATTTAGACTTTAGCACTTGGTGAAAATGAGCCTCTGGGAAAGCAGTCCAGTCACAGGTGAAAGCTGACATCACTCTGAACAGAGTTTAAAATCAGGGACGAGGGGCCGACCTGATAGCTCAGCAGACTAAAGCGCCTGCTTAGGCAGAGCACAGTGGCTGGTTTGATCCCTGGTGTGCTGTCCCAGCCTCATCTCTGGGACAGACTGAGACAGCGATTGAGACTGGGCATGGTGGCACACACCAGTAATCCCAGCACTTGGAAGGCTGAACACAGGGGAATCACTGAGTCTGATCTATGTAGTGAAACACTGTAGACCCTGTACTAAATACATTAAAAAAAAGAAGAAGAAAGAAAAAAAAAACTGAAGAAGAGATTCCTGAGGTGTCAAGCAGGTGGTGCTAAGTTGCCAATGGTCCCAATCCCTTGGTGACATCATTGCTAAGGCAACTGCCTGAGTGAAGATCTTCTGCCAGCAGCAGATGCTCTCTGAGGGACTCCTTACTAGAAGGCTCAGAGCACAGTGGGGGAGGCAAGGGAACGAGGAAGAGAATGACAAGTCTGAGTGTCCCACTGGAAGGCTGGGCCTCCTGTGGACAGAAAGTGCTGTGCCAGCCTTCCATGTGAATGGAGGGGGTGACAAATGGGGACAATTTGCCACCTCTTGGAACCATCAGAACCTGGGCTCTGAAGTATGTCTGGGTCTGCTGGACTTTCATCCAAGGAGTTCTTTGGTCTTCACCACCAGATTCCTGTCCAGTTCTGCCATGGCATCCTCAGCCATATGGCTGATCTGTTTCTCTATGAGTCAAATGGTATCCTCTGAAGTCTTGTCCTTTGACTTCTTTAGCTTATTCATTGCATCAATATGAGCCCTCCATCAAGAGTCTTTGGCTTTGTTGGTATTCTGTTTGGCCAGTTTCACCAGCATCTCCCTGTGATCCCTGGTTACTTTAGGACTAGGTACCCAAATCAATTCCCCTTTCACTTCTGGGTTCAGATTCATTCAACTTTCTTTTATGGACTTGATAGCTGTAGCTATACATTCTGGGAAGCTGGCCATATTTACCTAAATCAACTATGGCAATTTCACGGTGATCTGGCTAATCTGGTTTGAAGCAAGCTTCCCACAGTAGTGACCATTGTAATATGATCAAAGGATCTTGCTGAAGTCCTTATATTGAGAGTCCTATTGAAATTATCGTTGAGAGCTTCTTTCACAGACTTCATTTCTTCATACACCTCTTACAAGTTGATTATACCTTCAACAAAAGCTGTATTAATATTCACTCTGATTTGGGACTGTCCTTTCCCATTGGCTTTGGCTTTCGTGGTTGCAAAACAGTGAATTGGTAGGGCCTGATAAGCCATGTGTTGGCTATGGTCAGGCTCTCTTCCATTCACTGAAATTTCTGAAATAGGTCTGATCCAGATTCCAAGGTAATTACAAGAGGCAGGGTGGATCAAAAGGAAGCATTTTAATCCCAAGGCCATGATTAAAGACAATCCTTGTGAATATGTCTGGACCTCGAGGTCACTTACCAGATACTGCCCACATTACTAATTGCTCCAAAGCAGATTTGATCTGAGAATTTCTTAGGTAACTGTATTCCTACCATATCTATTTATAAGGAAAGTATTACTTTGGGCTTATTTCATCATTAGTGTTTGGGATTGTGGCTAACAACAGATTGAGTTAAACCCCAGAATTTTTGAGGTGACACGTCCTTCTTGGTGGCTATCAATTTCCATCCAATATGGTTTGTACAAATCCTACACTGGGCAACAGTCCAGGCATACCAGGGAAACCAACTGTGTTCTGTAGAAGGGCAGCTTGTCAGATTCAAGTTGCAAACTTTATATATGGTGAGCGTCTCATGAACATATCCATGAGGGTTCACATAAGCAGCCATCAGCCCACATAAGGATAAACTAAATATTTCATTTTTGTTTGCTATTTCTGTTTCTTGATATTGTTTATAGCAAAGGGAGGTACACTGATTGATCATGTCTAATTCACAGTGAAGTTGTTGGATAGCACTACCAATTTCAAGTAGTTGAATTCTTGAAACATCAATAGGAAGGCAAGCAGCTACTCTGTAAGAAAACTCTATTGGATTTGAAGGAAGAGAATCATCTTTAAGATTTTCATCCCATTCACATAGCTGTTTCTTAATTCTATCCATTAAGGTTTCAGCATCCTATAATGAACATAGCCAGAGAGGCCACCAAGTCAGATTTGCACAGTGAAACTTTCTCTTCTGGTATTTCTGTCACCATTTACAGTGAATATTGGTGTTCCTAGGAGACAGGTTTTGAAGGAAATATCTGACACTTTGTGATTTTAACTGAACTGCAGGCATAGTTGAAGGTATATTCTTCCTGAATACACATTCAGGAAGAATTTGCACTTTAAGCTTGCTGGATTCCATCTGACTTGTGTTCTTAGCTCAAGGACTTTGAATCTTTGTCTTCCAACTGCTTTCACTTTCATTATTTCAATTCTGAAGTCTTTTTTTTTTTTTTTTTCTTGTGGAAAGGGAGATTGAACTCAGGCCCTTGCGCTTGCCAGGGAAGCGCTTACTCCACTGAGCCATCTCTCCGGCCCCAGAAGTCTTACTCTTCTCTGTAGACATCTATCTCTGCTGTTGTTCCAAACTGTGCTTCTCTTTCCTATATATTACTATATGCAAGAACAGCAAAAGTTCTATCTTTTTTTTTTTCAGATGTTACATCAAGTATTTAATTTCTTCAATGATGTACTGCTTTTGTAAATAAAACCAAAATCAGCGATTATATTCAAAATGCATGTAAAAAGTCATTTGAAAAAAAAA